TTCCCATGAGTCCTGCCCTATGAGGCCCCTGGGTCTCAGTGTCCTTCAGTAATCACTGCAAGCATCTCTGAGAGAAAGCTGCCCTCAAGTTTCGCCTGTTGCCAGACAGTGCAGTTTCTCCCCCAATGAATCTGGATTCCCAGATTCTTGCCCAGAACTGGAGTTCAGAGCAGTTGGGATTTTCCAGTTCCCTCCAGCTAGAGAAGGCCTGTGGCAGTCAGTCCTCTCTTTGCGCACTTGCACATGCACCTCTAGACCTCTGCCTTTCGTGGCTTCCCTGAGTTTTCGCCTGACAGTCCAGATCCCCTGTAAGAACGTGGATCCCCATGGGGCTCACCCAGAGCTAGGGTTCAGTGTAGTCAGAAATAGGGTTCAGTGCAGTCGAGAGCTTCTGACTTCCTCCCAATAGGGAAAGCAGTCAGTCTTCTCTGTGCACACTCATGAGTGAGCACCTCCAGACCCCTGCCTGCCTTGGCTCCCCTGAGTCTCCGTGTCTCTGTGTGCCTTTCTCTCTACCTGACAGTCCAGACTCCCCAGGATAAGCCTGGGTCCAGTGCAGTTGGAACTGGGGTTCAGTGCAGTCGGGAACTTTCTTCTCCTTCCCACCACAGAAAGCCAGCCAGGCACTCAGCCGCCCATCCTCTCTGTGAGCGTGTCTCCATACCTCAGCCCTTTACAGCTCCTCTGATTCTCTATGAATTTTTCTTTTTCCTTCTAGTTGTAGAATTTCCACTCAGCCAGCTTTCCTATGGTTTTGGATGATGTCCATTCTGTCTTTTAGTTGTAGTTTTGAAATTGTTGTTCGAGGCAGCAGTTTAGGTACTTATCTATGCTGCCATCTTGGTTTCTCCTCTGCATCTTTCTTTTCTCTTTCCTTTCATTTTTTAGGAAATGACAAGTTGGTAGTGTTAGGTTTGATAGAGCAATTGAGTTGATACCCTTCCTCCGGAAACTGGGAACTGGCTTCTCAAGTCATTTCACAATGGACATTCCCATTGCTGAAGACCACATTTCACTGTGGTGACCACATTTCAGTATCTCCCCATCATGTATGCATAAAGAAGTCTCCACCCAGAAAACAGCCCGCCAAAAGTCCTTTAAAAGCTGCTGACTACCGTCACTGGGTGGTAGAGCCATCCAGCCATCTGGTGTGTGAATGATCGAATAAATTCATAATCCCTCACCACTATGGCTTTGTGCTTTCCTCCTTCAGTGGCTTAACAGGTAGGTTATTTAATAAGCTTTAAAAGGAAGAGAAAGTGGCTCAGCTTCTTTATGGAGATCAGTGAGTTCAGGAAACTTTCACAAATTGGGGGTCACAGATCAGATATCTTCATAGGCCAATCTCCTGATTTTCAAGTGCTGGCAATCGTTTTTCTTCAAAGATCATGTTTATTCTGTGAGCTGCACTTGGTCTACTGCCTACAAGCCAATAACTGCCCATAATGATTTCATATTGGGAGCCAATCCAATAAGCACAATTATTTATAATAAGGAATATAATTGTCAAGTTCATTTAAATTCTCATTTTTGGCTGATCTGAGCACTTTATATGAGAACTTCAACAAATATGAAAAGGTTGCTTGGTGACTTAAGAATTAATGTAAACAGAGTTATAGGATTCTGATAGATAACTTGATCAAATACATGTTGAATGTTTTACATGTACTGGGCACTGTTTTAGGCATCAGAAATACAACTGAGTACAGTTGTAGTATCTATCTAGAGGTGGGTGGTAGTCAATAAATAAGTAAACAAGAAAACTAGCACTTAGTGGTAGCTACCACTCAGAAAAGTAGCCTAGGGCTGTGGTTGGAAATCTGCGGCTCGCGAGCCACATTCGGCTCTTTGGCCCCTTGAGTGTGGCTCTTCCACAGAATACCACAGCCTGGGCGAGTCTATTTTGAAGAAGTGGTGCTAGAAGAAGTTTAAAAAATTTGGCTTTCAAAAGAAATTTTAATCATTGTACTGTTAATATTTGGCTCTGTTGACTAATGAGTTTGCCAACCACTGGCCTAGGGTAATGCGATAGCAGGTGCTGACTGGTTTCCCCAAAGGAGCCAGTGAACCTAAATCCTCAAGGCTATCACAGTGCAAATTCTTCCTGAAGACTCCTTTTGCTCTAGGTCCCTCTATGAAATCACTTGAGGTATGTCTTAATGAATTGAAGACTAGTTTATTTTAAATTGATTACCTTCCAATCTTGTTGGCTAGATTTGGGGGTCATGTTGATCCCACAGGGATTTAGGGAAATCTCTCTCATCAAACCAGCAACTTACAGTGCTGGTTACAGTGCCTGGGTGTTACAGTACCAGCAAGTTACAGTGCCTGTGTGGGTGCTGCACATGGCTGACTACAAACATTTTGTGTTGATTCCTTTAGCTTGAGGTTTAGAGAGGACGATTTTCCTGAATGTCCCCAAATCCTGAGAATGTATCATTTGAGAATTTCTACCAGCTTTTGGGGACAAGGACTAATAACAGCTTGGCAATGAAACTCTCTGCCAGAGCCAGGACTTCTCCCACCTAAAAATGCACATTAACAGATACCTTTCAAACTAGTATTGTAATATGTCCCTTCACGTTGACATGGAGAAAATCTGGAATGTCAAGTCAGAGGATCTGGATTCAAAGCCAGCTATTGGCTCTTCTGTGGGCCACCTCTTTGGTTTGATAGTCACCTAACTCTCACAGCCTCATCTTGAAGACCTACTTCTTGGAGGTCCTGGGAGGACTGAATGACAGCGTGTATTTGAAAGCCAGCCCCGCAAAGCTTCATATTATATATTATTATGATTGGAATGGCCATCAAGGTCATGCATGTTACCAATGTTATAATCCAACAAATGTGTAAGGTGGCAGAGCCAAACACAGGTAGACCTCTGATGTAACAGTAGGCCACTGAAGAGCAAATAAATAACATCTTTAAAGTTAATTCTGGAATAGAAATGCAGATGGTATATAACAGTAATTGTAGTAGTGGTAATAATAATAAATGGCTGACATCTACTGATCACTTTCTCTGTTCCAGGCATGGAGGCAAACACATTGCATTTATAGTATCTTTTAATGGGGTGAGGAGAGGGGAGAAAAAGTCAAGCCAATAAAGCGAAGTTGAAAATAAAACATTACTGCCAGCACAGTGTGCACTATTACCCCCAGAAGCTCTTTAAATTCAAGTGGGTTTTGAGAACCCATTTCTTAGAGATTTGGTGTGTTCAGTCTTCCCTTTCTCAGCAGGAAGACCCACTACCTTCTGCCCCAAGGCCCAGCCCACTGGCAGCATTCAGAAAGAATTGTCTTGGATGTGCCAATATTTTACCTAGTATCACATGTTGCTCATAACAAAAAAGAACTTCAGGTTAAATATGTAAACAAAGAATAGAAATGCAGAAGAATACGTTCAGTAGATATAGCTTAGAGTGTATCCTTTGTAAAGCAAAACATTTCTTTCAAAGCCCCCTCCCCCCAATAAAACTGGAAATGGATTCTTCTATCAAGACTTCCATAGGCTTCAGAATATAAAACGTGTCCAACAAGTGGGGACGCTGGGGCAAAAGGCGGTGCCTCATTCTCAGCTGTGCATGGGTGCAGAAGGAAATAATGCTATTTGCCGCAGGGCTGGTGTTATTTATATAACGCCTCTGGCTGGGCCGGGTTGGCACTGGAGCGCGGAGAGGCGGGAGAGGCTTGTCTCATGTGCACACATACAGACTTGTGTGCCTGTGCACTCAGCGTTCGGCGTTTGAAATGTGAATTCTTGAGGAGGGTGTGGGGAATGCCATCACCATTCACGTTTCTGTATATGTCATTATGTTGGCAACACAGCCTTCTAGCATCGTACTTGTACAGCATTCATTTGGGAGTAGGGAAGACATGGCGATTTGGGAGTGGGTGCTGCGGTCGTCGTCTGCGGGTGACCTGACGCTGCTGGTTACTGAGGATCTGAAACTGGCAAATGCGCCCCCTTGATCCTCCACCAAGAACACAAAAATCAACTATATATGTGCTTTGAAACATCTTGAGAGGGTTGCTCCCGAGTGCTGGCGAACCTTGGACTCGCGGGCGGGAGTGGGATGCAGGCAGGTGGGCGGCTGGCATCTGTGAGGCGAGCAGAGGTCACCGAGTCCGGGCACAGGCCGGGTGGGTGGGGGCTTCGCGCGGAGGCGAGAGCCGAGCTGCGAACACAACCCCATTCATAAGCTCTGGGCGCACACCGACTCCTCTGGGATCCCCGGTCCCCCCGCGCTGGCTGCTCCGCGCCTTCTCCTCCCCGCCCACCCGGCGCGGGAGGGGGACGCCTGGGGACCCTCGAGAGAGGCGGGCCCGAGTGTCCGGTTTCCCCGCCCGCCTCCCGCGGATCCCGGGGCGCGGCGCATCCCGGCTGGAGGGGGCGCTCGCGCCCAGGAACCGGGCGCAGCAGGTGCCGCGGTTACCTCCACCTCGGCGGGGGGAGAAGGGGCGGGCCGGGGGCAAGGAGGAGGAGAGCTGGAGCGGGAGGAGGGAGGTCGGCTCGCGGAGCTGGAGAGCGCGGCCGCCTCGGCAGGTTGGGACCCGAGCTCGCGGCTTCCGGAAGGCGCCGAGGTCGGATAAATACATCCCGGGCGCCGGGAGCAGGGGACGCGGCTCGCACCGCCCGCTCCGCCGTCCGCAGGGCGCCGAGGCGGCCGCTGAGGCGCGGCGCCCGCTCCCCCTCCTCCCGCGGCCGGCGGAGCACGGAGAGCGGCGGGCTCGGCCGCCGGCGCCGGGCCGCGGAGCGGATGAGCGGCGGCGGCTGAGGCCGGGGCTGGCCTTTGCCCGCCGTCTGCCCGGCGCCCGATCGGGGCCGCAGCGCCCGGGGCGCGGGGTCCGCGCCGGTGCCATGGGGGCGGCCTGACGCGCCGGGCGGCCACTCTCCCTCCAGCCGCGGGCCCTGCCGGCGGCGGCGGCGCGCTCTGCCCGGGGCGCCCGGGAGCCTCCGCCGCGCTCTATGCGCCTCTGCGGGCGCCGCGGGCCCGGGCCATGGCCATAGACCGGCGGCGCGAGGCGGCGGGCGGCAGGCCCGGGCGGCAGCCGCCCCTGGGCGAGGAGAACGGCTCTCTGCCGCCCGGGGACGCGGCGGCCTCGGTGCCCCTCGGGGGCGGCGCGGGCCCCAGCAGCGGCGGGGAGATCCAGGCGCTGCCCTCCCCGCACCCCGGCGGCGGCGCGGCGGCGCCCAGCCTCCTGTTGCTGGACTACGACGGGTCGGTGCTGCCCTTCCTCGGGGGCCTGGGCGGGGGCTACCAGAAGACCCTCGTGCTGCTCACCTGGATCCCGGCGCTGTTCATCGGCTTCAGCCAGTTCTCGGACTCCTTCCTTTTGAACCAGCCCAAGTTCTGGTGCCGCGAGGCCGGCAAAGGCGCCGAGCTGGCGGGAGTCACCTCCACGGGCCGGTGGGGAGCCTACGACGGGGCCACCTGGAACAGCCCCCCGACCACCTCCTTCTCCACGGCCGCCTGGGCGCCCGCGGGCAACCTCAGCAACAGCAGCGGCGCGGACAGGGGCGACCGGCCCCCCCTCGGGTCCCCTCCGGACAAGGGGGACAACGCCTCTAACTGCGACTGTCACGCGTGGAACTATGGCATCCACACAGGCCTCGTCCAAAACGTGGTCAGCAAGGTAAGGGCCGCGACTGCCCCGGTCCCATATCCTCCCAAGTCCCTTTCACTCCTAGGTCACCTCCACCCTCACCTCCTATACCGAGGTCTAAGCCAAGCAGCCTGGGACGAAGGATGGAGTCCCTAAAGTGATGCTAACCTGTGTGTATGGGCATCCCGCATTGACGTAATAGCCTCCTGTCTCCCAAACAAATGCATTTTCCTAAGCGAGGGCTTTCTGCCGCCCTCCGCAGTGACACTGCCTCCCAGCTCTAAGGGGGCATAATAGCCTCTTCTAGTTTGCGCCCCAAGCTTGCCCCAGTGCACATAGGGAAAGAGTCTCCTCCTGTCCTCCCCCCAAAAGACTACAGCTTCCTTCTCCCATCCTGTCGGCTGTCTCCTGCCGGTGGAGGGTAAGGCCTCGGACCTGTCACCAAGCCTGCCTCGGAGGCCGTGCCTCATTCAAGGTCTGCTGGCGGTTCCAGGCCCAGGGCCCCGCTCTTCCGCTTGGCTAGCTATCGCTATGTCTGCCATGAAGAGCTATCTATCCATGAGCATAGTGCCCTGTTCCCAGAGATGTTAGCCATCTCCTGCTTGTTTTGGAAACAGGCTAAAGCCAACTAAGGAACTGAAGTAGCCAGAGAAGCAAAGAGCTTCCCCCCTCCCCCCACCCCACTCCCACCTCAGGCTTAGCCTCCTCATAAGATGGGCAAACTTGGCCTTAGACTTTGACACCCCACTGTTCCTTCTAATGATTGCTCAGGACTATAGTAAACATCATGGAGTACAGGAAGGACCTAAGAAGGTTTTGGTACCCAGGGAGCCCCAGGCTTGTACTGAGCAGCTGCTTTATCTGAGGCATTGGGACTCTGGTCAGCTTTAGCTGCACTTGCAACTTGTGTCCAGGCCATTGGAGCTCCTCTAGCAGAGGAATTACGTCGGAATGGAACAATGTTTGTTGAGAGATGTGTGGCCAGCAGAAAAATGGAGAATGAGCAATGTTAGAAAAATCAGTGCACAGGACATCTATAATTTTCTGGATTTCTTAACATATAAGAGATACCTTATGCCAGTTTGTCAAGCAGGTTGTGTTTTTTGCCCCTTTGTGTTTTAAATAACTAATTTGCATTTCCAAGTAAATGTAGACCTTTTCCTTTTCTGAGCAGTTCTGGGCAGAGTTTTAAATGATTTGTTTAAATGTGAGACTGAAATTTAACAGTTAATGATAACCAATGTGCATGTATTCCCTCCACCCCCCAATGCGTGCTAGTAAACTTTGTAGCTCACAGATGTGTAAGATGAAACTCTTACATCATCATAACCCTTGTTTTAATCTTGATAGGAAATGATCTGTCCTGTGGGAACTGTCTGGATTAGCTGTTCAATAGGGAAGATCTTTTCATTTTAGTTCACGCTGACACCCCAGTGCCCCCAGTGAGGTTGGCCTTCCCAAAGGGGTTTCTGTGATTCTGCTTCCCATTGATGGAGGGCAATATTTGGTTTTTGTTTTGACCAGCCTGGGAAAATTAACAATGACTATTTTAATAGTCTGTATTTCTGTGAAAGTAAAGATTTGGCAACATTTTCATGTACTTTAAGCCCCCTTTTAAAGAGAGAAAAAATAAAATAGATCAAAGCAAATGTGAGAGGAGGGCATTCTCTCCTGGGTCAGATGGAGGGCAGACTCAAAAGTTAGGAGGCGGGATAGACTGTCATTAACCTAGTGGGGGGGAACCAGTAACAGCTATTCATACTTTGCCCATGGGTAGTGGGAGGAGAGAACTAAAATAGTTCTTGAATACAGACAATGCAGGCTTGTTAGAGAGCTGGAAATTTTTTCTAAATTAGCATTCAAAAGGGTAAAAAATGGCACTAATCTGTGCAATGTGTTTGGGAGTGCTTGGTAAGTCACAGTGACAGAGCTGACAAGCAAGGCTGGGAGGAGAAGACTCTGGACTATAGGTAGACACACATTTTATTGTCGGATAAGAACTAGAAGGCTCATATCGATTCTCACACACAAACAAGATCTAAATAAAGGACTGTCCTTCCACAGTGTTCTGTTCCATAACAAATGCTTTAAAGAGCTTTTAGAGCACATTTTGGCACATGCACCAGGCAGACATTCTCCTTCGTTGGCTGTGCACTGTCAGATATACAAAAGTGGAAGGTATCCTGTGCTGGGTGCTGAATTCTCGGGGTCAGATGCTTGTGTGCTTTGTAAGTAGAAGCAAAAGCGGAAGGTTTGTCTTCTGTTAGTGGAGGGAAGATCAGCGTCTGAGAAGTTGCCTTTTGTGTCCTCTTTTCTGACTCCCATCATCGCTGCAAATAAGCCTCACGGAATGTCTTTATCATTAAACATAAAACTGTCAAGCCAGTTAGAATCCCAGGTTATTATAGTTAAAAGGGATCTTCAGGCCTTCAGGCCTCTCTCCCCTCTCCCTTTCTGAATCATATCTGTTATGTGGGTCTCTCTTCCAGGGTTGGAAGGGAGCCCCGTGGCCAGGCAGCCCACTTCATATTACTCTTCCTTGCAGAGAGGCCTGTTTTTGGTGATTAGAATGGGGGTCATCTCATGCCCATGTGTGCAACTTGTCCCTCTGAAGGATTCTTCTTCCTTCATATAATACATAATTCAGGTGGTTGAGGATGCCCAGGTCCTTAGTTTACTTCCTGACTAAGAAGTCTCCAGCTGCTTCAGCTGTTTCCATACATGACACACTTTGATGTACTGACTGCTCCACTTGACATGTCTCTTCAGCGTGGCACCCAGCACACAGCCGGCAGGCCCCGCGTCTTCTAATCCGGAGAAAGGAAGAATGGACGCTGCTTCCATGAACGGAGCCTCCAGTTGATGCATTAGGCTTTTAGTACATGCTTCTCTTTCGAGACCTCAGTCACCAAACCTTTATGAGATTATACTATGTCAGGGCTTTCTCAGCCTACATATTGCACAAGATAGGTTTCATCTGAATAGTTTTTGGGTTATTAGATCTCTCCTATTAGGATCTTTTTTATTTCTGTTTTTGCCTTGGTCCTTGGTATTTGTTACCTGTTCCAGAATTTGTTGTGCCTTTAAAATAACAACAATAATAGCAACAATAATAATATCAATTTTATTTTGTGTAGTCCTATGAAGTTTCCAAAACCTTTGGCATATATTTCCTTTCATTAAGAATGTTGAGTAATCTGAGGCTAGTCTTAACACAGGATTTCCTTGGAGTTTAAATCAGTGGATGAGAGCACACTTGAGTGGGCCAGGGTCCAGTGTTCAACTTCCTGATGTCACTTATAGCTCTGTATTTATCTCCCAGTCATGTTGGAAGATACTGTCAGTGCCTTTCTGAAAAGAAGAGCCTAATAAATTCCTGCGGTCACTTATAAGGGCAGTTCTGGGGGGCCTGGGGGCGGAGAGAGGAGGGGAGGGGTTGCTTGGCCTCCCTGACCCACACCAGCAGTCCCTGTGTAACCCAGAGGCCAGATACTTCTGAGCTTTTACTCAGCAAGGTAAAAAAAAATCAACCCTGCTGACTCTAAAATATTTTTCTTAGTAGCTTGCATAATGTATTCCGCATCATTCTGAGTGAATTCTTATTGGTTTCTAATGCTCACCACTTACTTTGAATAATAACTAGAATTTTGCAAAAAGTCAAGGTCAGCTAAACTTTCTTTTTAAAAAAAATATATTTTATTGATTTTGTACAGAGAGTAAGGGAGAGAGATAGAGAGTTAGAAACATTGATGAGAGAGAGTCATTGATCAGCTGCCTCTTACACACCCCCTACTGGGGATGTGCCCACAACCAAGGTACATGCCCTTGACCTGAATCAAACCCGGGACCCTTCAGTCCCCAAGCCGACGCTCTATCCATTGAGCCAAACCGGTTTCAGCAATGTCAGCTAAACTTTCTAAGCTCCATTCTTTTTTTTTTTTCTTTTTTTAAAAAATATTTTATTGATATTTTACAGAGAGGAAGGGAGAGAAATAGCCAGAAACGTCAATGAGAGAGAAACATCGACCAGCTGCCTCTTGCACATGCCTCACTGGGGATGTACCCGCAACCAACGTACATGCCCTTGGCCGAAATCGAACCTGGGACCTTTCAGTCCGCAGACCGATGCTCTACCACTGAGCCAAACCGGTTTCGGCGCTCCATTCTTTTTCAGTAAATGAAGTTTGGGATGCTTGTCTATCTTCAGTCATCTGCTGTTTCTTCTGTTCTCCATGAATTCTCAAAGATTGCTAGCTTTTATTCTGTAAGGACACCTGAGAGGTGTTTAAATATCCCGAGAAATAATTTGTATTCTCTTTCTGGTACTCAAGATAAAAAAAGTGACTCAGTACAATTTAATTAGGATTAAAAATAATTACAATTTAATTGCAATAGTAATATTTAAAAAAGAACCCACTGTTAGGTCATGCTGATGGTGTTTAATTCATTTATTATATACAACTCAACAGTGAACATCTTTATGCATACCTATTTTTAGAAATTGACTAATTAAAAATGTATGTATGTGGTATGTAAAGCAGATGATAGGGTAACATTTCTTGCCATCCCTGCCTCCAGTTTCACTCTTCAGAAGCAACAATGGTTACCAGTTTCTTATGTATCCTTCCAGAAATATTCAAACTATATTTTCATTTATATATTTTTCTGCAACAAACAATAACATTATATACACTGTTCTATGCCCTTTTTTGGCCTATATTGGGGATGAATGCATAGAGAGCCCCTAATTCTAATCTGTGTCTGCACAGTATTCCATTGTATGATTGGGTCATAATTTCTCTAATTAGTCACCTAAAAGGGGGCATTTAGGCTGTCTCTACTCTTGGCTAATACATAGTATAGAATGAAATTCTGGCACAAATGAAATTCTTAGCAGTGGAGGATCAAAGTGGGCTGCATTTTTATTTTGCTGGATGTTGTCAAAGTGCTCTCCACAGAGATCTTACTACCCAGTTACATTGCATCAGTGTGAGGTACTCTTCCTTCCCCGCCTCCTTCCTGGGCAGGGA